AAGGGATGAATGAAAAAGATAATCATAACATCGAATTTGAAATTATGTGGAGAACAAAAAGCAAAGTCCAGAAAATTGAAAACAAGAATTGGAATTTTTTTCTGAATGGAATACATTTTAGGGAAACACCTTATTCATGGTAGCAGTTTCCACCGGTTCATCATATTTGATGCTTCGCACAATTTCATAAGAAAACACTTGATTGATATCAATTTTTCACCCTCTGTTAATTACAAGTCACTGGAGTATCTATAATCTTTCTTTCATTATCTTTGAATAACTTCCAAAATATAGGGCACTTTATATATTCCGTAAATCCTGTTTGCAAATGGGAATACAATAAAATTATGATACAGATTAGTGATGTTATTGGTGGATTCATAACAAACAACTTGTGAAAACTTAACCCTGAAATGAGCCAAAATTGTCTCTAAAATATTCAAAACTAATTTGAAATATTGAAAAAATATTGTTCAGATTGAAAGGGGTAGGTATATTTCTAGGAGAGATTAAAAAATAATATGAAGTAATATCTCCTAAAAATATAATTCAATTCCAGTTACATCTTTGCATGATCTACACATCTTTATATAGAGTTGATTTTTTGAAATTATTTGCTTTCTTCCTTTCTTTGGAAGATTCCCACGTTTTTTTGTATGAAGATGGAGAAGCAGAAAACCCAAACCCTTTTTTTTCCTTAAATTATTATTTTCACATCATTCGTTTACCTCAATTCTTATTAAAGTTTTATTGGGCATGACAACTTCCACCCAAAAAATAAAGAAATACATTTTGTAAAACCGTATCTCTAGATCTGTAAGATGCAATACTAAAATTTTCCAATTTGCATATTATAAGTGCTTAACTTTGCCTTCAATGTTCAATGTTGTTGTACACCACGTATATCTCAGATAAATGTACCTTTTATCTGAATGGGCAAACAAATCGTCAAAATTTACATTTCGAAATTAATTTTGAATCTCAATATGGCAATACCAATATCCCTAGAACTAAATGTTTGGAGAGGAATTTGAGGTAAACATACCATAGGACCATTCTGAAAGTTAGCCAAGCATTAACAATCTACAAGCATTAACATCTAGTTACATCCTCTATAGCTAAATTGGGTAGTTTTTGAATAGGATGGGGCTCTTTCTCATTGCGTAGTACCAGCGCAACAATTCTTCGATAATAACTTTCGGGTTCGATGGTTTGGAAGGAAAGGTTCTACAGAATGGCCACCCAGATCTCCCAATTCGACTTCACTGGACTTTTTTCTATGGCGACTGTTGAAATCAAAAGTCTGCGAGACGCCGTCAAACACTGTATATAAGTTGCGGAAAAAAATTGTTTGGTGCTCTGGGCTACTAACACCTAATCTTCAGAAAGTAAGGGATAAGACATAAGCTTGTTTATATGAATGATTACATTGATTTCATTTGAAAAAGTATTCAAATTTAAAGAAATTTCATTAGGTTCTATTTTCCTCATGAAAGTATTTCCAAATTTTTTATTGAATAACCGCATACTTTCCGAAAAAAACTGAATAGTGGTTTCAGCGAAATATTGAAATATTTTAAACCTTAATGATAAAACCAGCAGGTGGAAACTTGACAGGTACTGAAGTAAATTATTGTTGCAATTGCTACATATAGTTTAGGATTTTAAATTACATTTACAAGAAAATATATCAGCTGCTGAAAAATTTCATAAAAATTTTAATTATTCTTTTTTAGCAGCTATACAAATTAGCGAAGATAATGATTTTCCCCGGAATTTAATGACATATAATTTGGAAAGCCGATAAACCTATATACCCAAAAATAAATATTTTAATAACCCACTGGCCTGTATAATGCGTCAATACCTAAGAAACTTTGCTCCATAGTGTCTTTACAATCTCTAACCATCAGTCTATCTCTGAAAATAGTTTAGCCATGTACGTTTTCGATCTCCATGTACTATAACCTATATTATTTTCACCAAACGTCAAACGCGTCCTTTTTCTACAGTTTCCTGTCTCCGCTTTTTTATCTCTTCTTTCTCTNTCTTACTATCTTCATTCGGGTTTGAAGGCCGTCGTAGTTTGGAACTGCATCCTAACGTTTGGCCAGTACGAGTGGCTGGTTTCTTCAGAGGTTTATTCATCTTGATGATTCACCGATGACTGGTGATTTCTAGTTCGTAGGTTGTATTTATGTTGATTCAGGTAGTCTGCATATCTTGTTGATGCGTTGCTATTGGCCGAAGTGTTATTACCTGTTAATGACGTAACATTGCATTGCGCTGTTGCCACTTTAGCATCTTTTAGTGTGGTATTCCAAATCCGGTTAGGCGTTGCCGCCTCCTCTTTTCTGTTGTATTTTCCCGTATGTTTATGGATTTCTATGGCTTCCCGCACAAGCCGACTGTGGTATTCATGATCGAGGGCAAGTAGTTTCACATCTTCAAACAGTATCGTGTGATCTCCTTCACTAAGCGCGTGTTTCGCTATTGTCGATTTGTCTATTTGACCTAATGTAAAGTTTCTCCGATGTTCATTCAGCCTTGTACCCATGGATCTTTTGGTGGTACCGCTATAAACTTTTCCGCAAGTGCATGGTATATGATATACCATGCACTTGCGATATACCATGAGACTTTGTTATATTTTTCTTAGATCTGCGAAAGACAATAAAAGAGATCCATTATCAGCTGCGGAGGTATATTGTATACCATGCACCTGATGTTCAAACAAACAAAACATTGAATAGTTGAATGCAAGTTCATTATTCTATAGTTTACGTGTATTGTTCAATGGTTCTCTAGATATTGCCCTGAAAGTTTTCAGTAACCTTGTTTTCAATTCCAGAGAAAACCAGTCGTTGCACAAGAGGATAGTGACCGATAGCAGGAAGTTCGAGGAGCTCGCCGCACAGCTGAACGAGCTCAAGAAGAAATACGCCGCCTCCCGAGCTGACCTCGAGCGCGAGCATAAACGAAATGAACGCCTGAAGGCAACTTACGATGCCAAAACGTCGGACCTCGAGAAAGATAGCGACAAGCAGAAGGCAAAGATCCGCGACCTCCAAGCCAAGCTCGAGACGGCCCTCGTCGAGATCAGGAAGAATCAAAATTTAGCGGTGTCTAAGAGTCCGGCACAAAAATCGACCACACCAAATACTGACGTCAGTTGTTTTTCAGTTCCGGACGCAACAGCACCTGCAGGAGCTGCGCAAGCGGACGCACTACATGTACAGGTAGCGACGCCCGGCGGAACGTCGGCGCCGCCGTCGCCGGACGCCTCCTTTGGCGTGTCCTTCGAGGAGGCGGTGCGTGCCGCCGGGGAATACCCCGGCGCCGACAAAATTCTCAGCGAGTACCGCAAGCTCAGAGGGGAGTACGAGGCGCAGAAGCAGAAGATGGTCAAGGTATGTCAGATATAATTGAAATTATGATAATTAATATGAAATTAGTAGTAATTTTAAACTAGTCTAACAGGAGTTATCCCAATTACAAGACAAATATAATTAAGTTTACAGCTATGACTAAGTATGAGTACAATGGAATATAACGAATAGCATATAAAATCAGCAGAGTAATAGAATAGTATATTATACAAACAGTGATACATTCATATAATAATAATGAAAAAAAGAAACGTATACTGTAGAATTCTAATAGAATTGGCAGTGTGCAGAGTGTTGAAACACAGTATTTCACTTATGGGTTAAAATTAGATTCTAGTTCGACTTGCATAGAAAATAGCTTGTTACGNACACAAGCTCTATCCCAGCATAAACTTCACTGGGCCAGACTTTTGCCGTATTGTTGGGTAACTTGACAACCTAATCTAATAGTATTCAATAAAAATCTGAGTCTTTAACATATAATTCCGAGGTTAACGTCAACATTTTGACTATTAAACTTATAATAATGTGAAATCATGTTGGGGAGGTGTAGGAATTCCTACTTCAAATTCGGAATAATGTGAGATAGATTGAATACAATCAAGTTAGGCGGTGTCAAATGATGATATAAGGACGTACTTTTTTTCGATTTTCTCTATGAACATGTATGTTGCTTGGGATTATTAAACTTATTATTATTACTATCAAAATCAAAATTCCTCTTTCAAAACCGTAATTTTACAAAAATTAAATTTTTATATACTATAGCCTTTTTACACTTTTGTAATGTATATACTTGAAATGTATTTGTTACTTTCTTAAAAGTTTTCCCTATAAACATGTATGTTTCTTGGGATTCAATGAAATTTATTGTTATGATTAGGTGAAGAAGGAGCAGTTCAAGGCGTGCGAGATCATCAAGAGTATGATCGACTCGAGGAACCAGGCGAACGTCGAGATCGCCGAGCTGCGCAAAAAGGTCGACGAGACAAACGAACTGCGCAGGCATGTGAAGCAGCTCGAGCATGAACTCGAGTCGGTCGTGTCGAAGCCGACGAGCGACGGGGACGAAACGTCGATGCAGCGAGTCGCGAATTTTCCCAGCGATGAGGTACGGTTTAGAAAAGATATTGATCGGAAGTTTGGCAAGTTTCATTTTCCTAGATAGATGCTTTTTGATCGCTTGTAGGTGCATGGCTTTTCGTGCTTCAACTAGTTGTGTTTTCTAATTCTATTCTAGTTCTGATTTCTAATATATCCATATTGTTTTACTCTGATTCAGTAAATGCTTATTTCCTAATATGGTCTCTACTTGATGAAAATTCATGAATTCACAGAAGTGAAATATATGTTTCGCTAAGTAGTAGCTTCTTCTTCAATTATTAATATATAACTAACCTACAAATAGAGCTACCTCAATATACCGATAAATGGAATTATAATGCAATATAATAGTTGTTACTGTTTTGTTGGGTATACAACCTACAGTCTGAAAAATGAACAATCTTTTTTCTTTTTCAAAACCCAAGTTTAACTTCAAAACTTTCGCCTCAAATTGACATACGTCAAAAACTGAAATACAGTATACCTACACATTCCAATTGAAATGCTTATAGTCCAAAAATTAAAGTCCTCACTCCATTAACTTTCGGCTGGGACAAATATCAAGATCATTTTGAGTACTTTTTCATAAGAAAGACAATAGTGTTTCATCATTTGTCGCCCAGAGGGTGCTACCAATATTTTTTTCAGATAATTTGGGGTTTTTGTGATACCTCTTGATAGGTATTTCAATTTTACATTCGACACTTTTTTATTTTTGGAAATCGGATCAGCTTTTTCTGAAAAATTGGCAGCTTCATATTCGTTATTACAATCCACAGATAAACGATAAATATCATAATTTCAAGAAAAATATTTTCAAACCTCACTCCATTTCATTTACTTCCTAATGATGATATAGGTTATTAAAAAATTAATTTTTCACATTATGATAACCACCTTATTCTATCCATAAGCTCCATAATAGACTCCTGTTATGTAAAGTATGACTTAGATTCTAAGAATCCCTACAAAAAATCTGAGGCTGTCGTATCAGGTGATCTAGCAGGCCATTCTAATAAGGAACCATGTTTGGGTGATTGGATAATTATCATATGGCCACTTGTGAACCAGACTATTGTAATGAGTAGATAACAGTCTCATTTTACTGAAACATATCATCAGTTGAAAACTCACAGGCGACAGATAGGCGGACGTGGCCTCCTAGAAGGGGTCACTAAATTATTTAATATGACGCCTTTAGATATTTTTGAGGGAATAAGTGATATCTGGAAATTACAAGGATAGTGAATGATCTCTCATATTTTGCAAATAGAACAATATGCCCAGATGTTTGATAAATAAGGACGTTCCTCAAGGATCGTGTTTGGGTCCAATTTCATATTCAGTAGACATACAAATTATGTGAATTTCATTATTCCGACTTCCATTGTCTAATATGATGTTGTCACGTTTTCCCCGTGGGTTAACCAATAGTTGACTAAACTGAACAAAAATCGAACCCAACCTTATATAACAAAACACGTTAACTAAAACTTCAACTATTATTCAAATATCTGGGTGACAATTTGATTCTGTACACCAGATCGTTAATCTTTTTCGTTACCAAGTAAGGTCCTTGCCATGGTCTCTGCAATTTGGGACACAAACCTTTCTGACGTTGGGGTTAGTAGAGCCAAACTGCATCGCCCTTCTTGAAGCTCACCAGCAGAAACATTTTGTCAAATCTTATCTTCATCCTGTCGCTGAAAAGCTGTAATTTGGTTCTGGCAAATTCCTGTACAACTTGCAGTCTCTCCTTCAGATCATTCACATACTCTGAGAGAGATACCTCTTGAGATTCATAGGAAGGACTACCACACAATACATCTATCGGAAGCTTCAGTTCCCTACCAGTAAACAACATGGATGGGGTATAACCTGTCGCGTCATGTTGGGAGCTCCTGTACGCCAATAGAAAAATAGGAACCAATTTATCCCAGTCTCATTGGTTTTCGGAGACAAACTTCGAGAGGTAGTTATTTATGGTGTAATTATGCCTCTCGACCATTCCATAAGACTGCGGGTGAAGAGCAGTTGTTCTTGTCTTCTTTATTTCCAACAAAGTCATCATTTCCTTCCATAAATCCGAATCGAAGTTGCGGCCCAGGTCCGAGTGTAGTTCCTGTGGTACTCTGTGTCTGGCAATCACGTTCTGCAACAGGGCTTCTGCCACCGTTTTAGCCTCTTGGTTGGATAATGCTACTACTTCAGGCTATTTGGAGAAATACAACCATAAGGTACTTGTTACTGGATGTGCTCATAGGGAGTGGTCCCAGAATGTCAACTGCGATTTTTCAAAAGGGCACCTATTGAGGTGCCGCTTCAACTTTCCTCTTTGCCTTGTCTTCGAAGAGCACAGGTCACAGCGCTTACACCACTCTTCTACGTCTCGACGTTAATTGACCCAATGGTTTCTCTCACGCACTCTCGCTAGAGTTCTATTTACTCCGAAATGCCATCCAGTGCGACCAACGTGGAGCTGTTCAAGGATATTCGGGATACACGTCTTTGGAAAGATTATCTGGAATTTGAGGGATCTTCCATCCGGGATTTCCAATTTCCGAGTGAGTAGGTCATCTCGAATGCACATTGTCCCATTGGAGCCAGTAACCCTTTTCTTGCTGGCCGTGCTGGGGTTTCCTCTGACCCGCAGGTTGCTACCCTCTGGGTCAAGATGGAATCCGAACTAAAACTTCAATTATTATTCAAATGTCTATCGTCTTATTAGATCGCTCCGTGTACTGCACTGTCACTTTCACTTGACTGTCTCGAGATAGGCAAGTGAATCGCGTTTATATTTGGCAATTGGTAACAATATAATACAATTTGAAATCCCTGAAAAAACAAATGAAATTGATAATCAAAATGAATTGCTGAAAATAATAATTATATTAAGCAGAAAACCCTGAAATGAAATTATAATAAATAAAAATCAAGCAAAAATTGAAAATTGAACAATTAAAAATGAAATAAAGATTTCAAGCCAAGTTACTTCACGACGTTTCGATTGTTAGTATCCACAATCATCTTCGAATGATGACTAGACTATTACTCCGAGAGATGGCTATTTATAAGTCATTCGAGTGCTTTCACCTATCCCCTCTTCCCTCTCTCCGCTTCACCGGTTTAGCGGGAGAAGACCATTTGGCGTAAGTTGACCTTTTTTCCGCTTGATTATGGGTTTCATAAGTTGCGTATCTCTACGCTAGCATGACTGAATGCGCCGTTGGACAACATATATGAGGCTCCTTTNATGACCATGAAATTGAACTGTACGTGTTGCATTTTTGTGAAACTGTTTAGGTGAAAATCTCACATTAAATTGTTTCTTGAATACGTTATGTATTTTCATCAAGTTTCGTCCGATTCCATCATATATCTAGCCTAAGTAGGTTAACAATCAAATCAACTAAAAAAGTTGAAAGTGTGATATGATCTGGAAGGTATAACTAGAAGCTGTAGCGTATTTTCTCCTTTAACAAAATCTTCTGATACGAACCATGCTGAATTCTCAAACCATATGCTTGCCTCTGATTTTTGTATATGCTATAAAAAAAATATTGCTTCAAAATATGTGATTACAACTGGGGTCAAAACAGTGCATTTACTGTCATGTGTTTTTTATATTTAATATATTAAATACTCCATACCTAAGAACCTCTCTCACCATAGATGTAATATCAAAAATATGCTCGAATGTTGATGAAATTTTAGGCCCATAAGAAATGTACGGAAAAATACATACTTGGATCTAACAATGGATCGCAATTCAAATTTCGTTCCTAACAACAGTACTTCGTTTTTCCGTTAACCAGCTGTCGCCCCCTTACGAACGACAACTCTCACAAGTCGGAACTAACGACCAACGAGGTATTACCTTCTAACGTGTGGTTCCTAACACGGGTTGAATCAGTGTGCGTGTTTACTTTTTTATGGATCTTTTCGATGTGACGATTTAGTGCCTTGACGGAAGCATGATAAAGACCACACGTTTTGCATGTTCGACTTGATAGCCTCAATTTTAACGTCGGACAAAAATGATCGTAGGGCATTTGCAGGAATCCTTTGAGTGAAGCACTTAAGTGTAGAGCTAAATTGACTGGAAAAATTGCCCTCCTTCATCCAAAACCAAGTCATCAACTGTTTGTTTTACTTTTACACGTGGTAATCTAAATAGGCAACATCTTGGACGGCAGTATTCTGTATTCCTACATTTTACAATTTGAAGCAAGTATTGGCTTTCACGCACATGTTCTGAATACCATTTGATGTCCGGAAAATCAGGAAGATCTTGTTCACCTGCCCCAACATATTTTGCATCAACATTATAGCCATCAATTTCCATTGAACTCCATACTTCAGCTAATACATTTTCTGCAAATTCGAAATTAGATCTTTCTAAATGTTCCATCAGTTGTAACGCCACGTTCATCCAAATGAGATCCAAAATGGTGATGAGTCAATATTAAACCAGCTAGTTTCCGACTGAGAGAAGTCATTCTGCGCTCTACTCTGTTATACGCACTTCTTCCAGGAGCATTGGTAGCTAAAAACAATGCATCGAGATCATGTCGCTTCAAGTGATGTATAGCAAACCCTATGACTTTTTGATAACGCTGCAGAATTAGATTTTCTGGGAATCAAAACGAAGATATGTCCCACTGCGACTAATGTCAAATCCTATTTTACGTGATTCTTGTGTGAGTTCATCAAGAGTTTCAACGCTGCGAATTGATTCCCTTCGTCTTCTATCATCTGCTGCGCTCCCAAATAAAGCTATATCCGCGATTGTTTTCAATAATGAAGGTTGATTGCTTTCAAGATTAGGACGTCCCACTGAATCCCTCAGAGATAGTTTTTTTTTATTTCTGGATTTTCATGACAAATATCTTCTAACTTTCTTTTCATACCATCCCTGTGTTTCTTCTGGGCAACTGCGTTTTGAACCTTCCTGTTTAAAGACTGTTTTGCTGTTTTTATTTCGTCGCGCAACGTAATGATCTGTTTATCAACTTCAGCACGACTTGGCATAGTATCTCTGGCAGAATACAAAGCATTCAGATTTTTTTCGAGTAGAGCAATCTTACTTTTCATAGCTTCCTGAGAAGGTTTTGCTCTCTGTTCATCTGTATTTTCATTAATTTCGCATTGCTGTTGTGATTCATCA